TTGGTGGTGTTTGTGAAACCTCCCACAAAGAAGAGATGGGAGAGAGATGTGTTATTTATGGTGGAGTTGGTGGGAGAGTTGAGAAACTTTACAGTTTACATTACTTTTATTTATTGCAAAAACAAAAAAAATTACAATAATTCACGTGAACTATTTATATTTTAGGAATAAAAACCTTACTGTTTATCTTCAAAACAAAACAACATATAACATCTAATGACATAACAAACCACGAAAGTGTGAATCTAATTCGAATCGAAATCTTTTGGATTTTTTTTCTTTCTAACGAACATATACAGAGAGAATTGGATAATAGCGTACCAGGTTTAAGAATTATTATGGACGTAAAACAAGAAGAGATAAATAAGTAAATTTGGTTATATAAATGTAGTATATTATACGTACGTAGATGATTTAAGTCATCAATTATTGGTTTGAAAAATATTCAAAATACTAAGGCTTATTTACTAAAACGTTGACGCAAATATAATCTGGTATTTCTTTATACAAATAATGTGGGTGACACGGTGTTAAACTGCTAATACGTTAAAACGTTATAATTTTCTTGTTTGTAAATAAAATAAAATAAAAACTTTCTTATTATAAGCAAATGGGTACGTACTTTGTTAGTAATCAGAGAAAATAAAACATTTTAGTAATACAAATATATAGCAGGCCTTCCTACTTTAGTCATACATATCCTTAATTTATACATAAATATAATTATTTTATCAACTTACTTTTATCAATTGAGAAAGCATATATAATTAGCTAGCTAATTAAAGTTTATCTGGAAAAGTATTTGAACAATCTTATAAGTACTGGGATAGTTTTGGTTTGGAAGTTTTTATAGCTGTATAAAAACAGTAAAATGTGTCTTGTATTATGAGTTTCAAATACTTGCAATCACAATCGTCCAGCCACAAAGATAACGTTTTGTGAGCAATTGCGTCTAAACCAGTCCAAACGCAACCTTCTGTATTTGCCGAGACTTGTACATAACAGCGACACATGCATGTGTTTCTTGCTTATTCTAATGAATTTTAGTGGAGTGTTTATATTTGTAAGCTGAATTAATTGACATAAACCCTAAATAATGCTTATAATAATTCATATTGGATTTGGACGGATTTATTATATTGTAAGAAATCAGCAATAATATACGGGATATTAATTTAGGAACCGACTATAACAAATTAAAAAATACTGACATAAATAATAGTAATAGAGATATTATTAAAACGAATATGAAGATGAAGGTGCCAATGAAAGAGTGGTCCACACAGAGAGACACAAACCAATTTACTTTACAAAAATAAAATCATAAAAATTTGTCGAGATCAAGGATGGGTCCCACGAGGCTAATTAAAGAGGATTCGTTGAGCACTTTCATGAGATGTGAATACGTGGCATTCATCAGCAGTTCCATTGTACCCTCCACTATTATTTGCTGACTCGGATTTCTGTTTTACTTACTATTTTTATTTCCCTTCTTTTTTTTTTCGACCAAAAAAAAAAAAATTTCCCTTTTTTTAATCTGGTCCCATTCCCCTACTGAGATCTCTATATATTTATTTTCGGAGAATTTTAGTGAAACATAATTTGTTTTTATATTAATTATATTTATCGGCGAAAAAACGGTAAAAAAAGGTTTT